AGTTCTGCTCTATGGATCGGTATATAAAGATTTTGTGAGTGATATAGCCAATGTTCCGTGGTCAGCACACGGTCAACAAACAGCTACGGTATCAATGTCTTATCTTCTTTGTAAGATAGTGTCAAATACAGAGTCCTACTTCAGTTTATTTACCTGTGAGACACTTATCACGACCTTAACCATGTACAGTGAATCACAACAGGGTTAAGACTATCATCATGATATTTTTGAAATATAAATCTACAATAGACAGTTTGGACAGAGGCTGTGTGAGATGGAGACGGAGAGGATTTCTGAATGTATTGAAATAAGTCATGGAGATGGTTGGTGTTGATGGAGGAAGTAAGCTGGAGGTGGATGTGACTTGTGATGTCAGCAGAAACATGAAGAGGAACACCATTTAAGGAGATGAGAGAAGAGAAATGACACATTTCTTGGTTCATATCTGACTTATAAATCTGTAGTTATTACTGTAGACTCCTTAATGTTAAGGACCTAATGATCTGTCTTGTTGCAGGAACTGTTGCTCAACACTCATTTCTGGTAACTTGATCCTTTGTTTGTGTCATACCAGGACAAATAATCTTTATGTTTTTCTCTAGAGATCCTCGGTTTCCATAACTGTAGAATTCTAGGTTTTTGTTTTGCTTGTGCTCCAGATCACAGCCGTCTCTTTTCTCACCCAAGGACAGAAGTCAAGATTGTTACAAATGGTACTTTTTGATTTAGCACTTCGATAACATCTATTTCAGAACTTCTTGACCTTTTGGACCTTGGACCTCTTCTTCATACTCACTGACTTCACCATGGACGCATCATTTGTACTTCTATGACTTCTTCTTCCTGGGAGCCATGGAAATGCCCCACTTTATGCCCAGCCAAGATTAGACCTAAGAGTTTGACTTTTATGTAGTAGCACTTCCCTCACATTTGGACTAGTCCTAAAGTTCTTCAAACTGCATTGAAGTCCTCAGGGAGTGCCTGAGGGAGTGACTAGATTTCTTCTAGTTTCTCATAAATAAACTTTGAGAAACTTCTCACAAAAAGCTCTTCCGTCTGCTTCTTTCAGCCTTGTTCTTAAAGTCAGACTTGAAGTCCTTTTTATTTATTAATACAGTGTCTCTAAAGCCCATAAAAGAGTTGCATGAATTAAAAAGGATACATTTTCTAATTTTCTAAATGTATTGTTAGAAAGAGTTTGACACCTTCACATGTCATTATACCTGATAAAACAGCTTGTTTTTACTGTTTTGATATTAAATAATCAGAAGTATTCTTCAAACCTTTGGATTCTGTGGGTAACTGTGTCAAACCCTCACTTACTTCCGCCTCTTGTGTCAGTACTGGACACCAACATGTCTTTTACTTTGTCCAAGTGTCCATCATGAACCTCTGGCTTTATTCCCAGCAGGTGGCACATCAGTGGGTACACATCTACCAGGTCAAAGGGGTCCACCAGGAGGTTCTTTTGGAAGTCGGGCCCCACGGCTCTGAAGAAGACTTTCATGTCCATGATTTCGTTGTCAAAACCGTGCTCTCCTTTGACGTAGTGCAAAGGCAGAAGCTGAAATGGACACAGAACATAGACGTAGGAAAACTTCAGCAAAGCTACTCTCAGAATCTGCTGTAGGAAAATAAATACACTACAGTTGTGTTTTTATATATTTTCGAGGTGAGATTTTTACACCTTATTCACAGCTAATAGCCCCACTCCACTATCCTACAGACATTGAGGTGGGTCTACCTCTGTTCCCCAACCAAACACTCTGATGCTTGAATAAATACTCTACTACTCTTTGGCTCTTTGGCCTTTTCTCACCCCATTCACTGCATATCCAGCGTCAGCTATGAGAATGATGGGTAAAAGTCGGGGATGATTGCTGTAGTGCAGTCTAGGTGGCACCTCCTCCTTCTTGTACACATGGAGGTTTGGGTGACTTCTCTTCAGAGCCTGGTACACCTTCTCCAGCTGCCCCTCTTTGGGGAGCAGCATTCCAAGCGGACCGTAATCCAACAGCTGGAACTGAATGTCTTTGAAGCTGAACCCAGGGATCTTTGAGAGGATGATCTTCTGGACTTCTCCCTCACGGAGCATCTTGGTCATTCCGTGATCGGAGGTGATGATCACATTGAGCCGCTCACTGAGGCCGTGTTCTTCGATCTGGTCACGGATGTAGCCTATGGTGCGATCCACTTGCTCGATCATCTCCCACACCTCTGGTGAATCTGGGCCGTACTTGTGGCCCGCTCCATCTGGCTCTCCAAAGTACAAGGAAACAAAGTCCAGGTCTTGTCTCAGGAACCAATCACCAATCACCTTGTCAATGTTCAGTCTCCACTCGGTTTCATTGGAGTAGTCGTAGGTGGCAGATTCCACCTGTCTCACACTCACAGTTTCTCCTTCATATGTTGCTGCCGTGCCAGGAAAATGCAAAGAGCCGGCTTTTAGACCCTGGACAAAGAAGACAAGTTGTAATTCAGAGTAGATTTATTTGACTACAACTCAATATTACTCAGGTGGAAGTAAATGAACCTCTCTCTGTGCTGTTATCCAGATGGGTAGACTGCCATTGTCCCAGTAGGAATCAACAAACTGGGCACTGTAGTACTGCTTCTTCTCCTGAGTAGTGGTGTTGAACCACATGTTGTGGATCACGCCGTGGTTTTCAATGTGTCTCCCTGAAGGCAAAGACGGTTAAATGTGATGTTTTGCTATGATTATACAAACATATTGTACTTAAAAAAAGAAGATTCTTTTGCTAAAAAGGTAATAGCTGAGTTGCTGAGGTCATGTCATCATCTAAAAGCCCTGGTAAATACATGGTTTACACCAATATTACAGATTAAAGTGTTTTTACCTGTCAGCATTGTGAAATGAGATGGACTGGTGATGGTGAGGAAGGGAGGGGTCACATACTTTGCTTTCACCCCATCCTGCGTCATTTTATCCAGATTCGGTGTTGCACTATGACGCTCGTAGTCCCAGCGAAATCCATCGAAGGAGATCAGCAGCAGTTTGTTTTTTGTGGAGCTGCGTAAAACTGACTGTGGATCAGCGTAGTCTCTTCTGGGTGCAGCAGCACAGGGAGAGCTGGAGGTCAGGCCCCAGATGAGGAGGCAGAAGAACAGCATGTTTTTCTGATTCAAGCCTCTCACAGCTACAGTAAAGCAATGCTGAATCCATGCAGATCCTAATGAGGTTATAGTCAAATAATCTGACGATCTGATGCTGTTAACCAATGTGTTATCTACGTTTACTGGTCTACAGAACAGCTTTTATGTTTTTATAACTATATTGTTAGCTGTGATTGGCAGAGAGACGGTTCTGTGTACCCTTTGAACCTGGTACAAAAAGGTGTGTGAAAGGTGTTGAGAGGAAACTCATTGCAGAAGTTTCTTGTAAATAATTGTCTTTCCAGGTTTAAAAAAAAAATCGCTGGTTGTGGTAGACCATTAATGATGCTTTTGTCCAGTCAGCCTCGGCAATAAACACAAAACATGTTGATGACTCTTCATCAGGCTATGTAAGTAATATAAATGAATTGGATTCTAAAAAGAATTCAAACTACATATTTATGAGTTACTTTGACAAAAAAAAAAACTTGCTAGCTTAGCGGTCTTGACCAGGGACACATTGGTAAACAGTTGGATTCAAAGTTCCCAGTAGGGCATGAACATGTTCTCTTATATTGTAGTGTATATTTAATTATTGTATATATAAGTAGAACAAACTATATAAGATAATATAAGAAATATTAAGCACAGCTGGATACTTCACACACCTGTCTAACAGCCCTGTTCTGATTGGTTGAGGTGGTTCAAACTTTCTATTAAGCTCCGTTTGGACAGATTTAAAAAAGTTGTTATTAATTATATACAAACTTATGTTTTATTTGTTGCATGCTGACTGCTGTGTTTGTGCAGATGCTCCGGAAATGACTGATTATCTACAGTATAATAAGGTGTGTGTGTGTGTGTGTGTGTTTGAAACAGATATTTATCAATACTATAGTCCCTCCTCTAAATATCACTCTACTATTCTGTGTAATATGCTGTGTGTATCCTGTGCTGTACACCTTTTCTTTCTTTCTTTCTTTCTTTCTTTCTTTCTTTCTTTCTTTCTTTCTTTCTTTCTTTCTCTGAGGAGCTGTATGATGGCAGGAAAGGTCATAGAAATCTGTCAGATCTCGCACTGACATATGTTTAAAAGGAATACTTGAGAAAGGCTGTGGGCGACCCAGGGTCCCTGGACAACTTGTGCCCCAAGTCTGATCTCTATTCTCCGTAGCATTTCATTTTTCAGACTGGCTGTGGTGTGTAACCCCTGGTCAGCGCTGCAACCAAACAGAGCCACAACAATCAATGAAGTTATTCCCTGCAGATAAAGCAGCAGAAACACCTGTATCTAAGGCGTCCTATTGATATGCTGTGAAGCTGAGACCTCAATTTTTTCTGCTTATTCACTTTGTGACCCAGTCACTGCTCAACTGCCTCCCAACCCTTGACTGTGCATTTACTGGGCCACTGAATCAGACACATCCAGTGTGTCTTTTACTTGTTTGTCCTTTCATTTTTATTTTTTATTTTTTCTGTGTGTGTGTTTTTATTTTTATACTATTTCCGAATGACATTTGGATGTGGGCCACTCCTGGCTTGTACCTGGTTCAGACAAGTGGATGAGACACTATTCCTGATGTGACCCATTCAAACAGATGTCGGTCTTGAAGATGAAATCAGTGTGTTATGTTTTTTTATTCAAGAATTTAAAGATTTAAACAGAAGCTTTTCACATTGTTTTTTATTTAGTTATAGCACCTTTAGCTAATACTCACACATGGTTTCTAAGTCATAAAAAACTCAGTACAACAAAAAGTCAATATTTGGTATTAAAATGCTTTAAACGAATCAGTTACTATTTCTTGTTTAAACCGAATGTTCGCAAACGCACAAAACTTCTTCAAACAAGGTAAAAAAAGGAACACAAGGGAGGCTGCAGTATATTCAAATAGCCAGCAGATGGCGACTTCTCACTGACAACTAAGATTCATGTCCTTTGTTTTCCAACTCTAAAATCATTAAGGATCTGGTATCCACGAAAGTATGGACCTTGGCAACTGCACTAGCTAGTTGTAGTAGACTCTATTCAAGTGGCTTTATTTCTAGAATGTTCTTTCCATTCTTTACTTATTGTGTATTTTAATACCTGCTCAGTTTTCTCCTCTTACCTTTCATTTAGGTTTAATGCTCAACATTGAGGGCAAAATAATATATTTAATCGTCCAAATTTAGTTAAGTTGTTGAACAGAGTAGATGGATTCAGTCATTTCAATGCACAGCTGATAAACCCTGTCATGAGCTCCACATACCGTATACAAGGAAATGCGAAATGCAAAATGTGAGAAGCCGTGAGATGTATTAGCATTCCCGCAGATTAAGTACGGCCATAATCTTTTATTATAAGTATTTTATTATTATAATGAAGCACGAGTCTGTTTTGTTTCTTCCTGGAGAATGAGCTGTGGTGTTGTTGCCAGGCTGTGTGCTGAGAGATGTATCACAGTTATTACACTCTCATTATGTTTGTACACAAAATAAATAAGTCTGCAGTCTATTTCTGCAACCACCTTAACACTTCTGCAGCTTCAGGAACTTCACTCTCGTCAAGTTTGCAGCCAGAGCTTGTGTGCGTGTGGGGGGGGGGAGTGGGTGTGGGTGTGTGTGTGGTGCAAAGTGGGCTGAAAAGTGAGCTCAGGATGATGCAGTGGGCAGTTTTTATGTAAAAGGAAAACTGATAAACATACTGTATGGCCTACCTTATTTGTCACATTCAAACCCTCCGTCACTGCTAAAGTAAAAGATTAATTGTGTTATTTTTTGTGGTCGATGAAGTGATAATATTATTAAGTAGTACATTGTTACATTGAGTTAGAAAATCCACCTTCTGGCTCCTCCCCTTTTATATGTTCAGTTATTGTCGTTTCTGATGTAACTGCCCTGGTTTAAATGGGCATCAAGGTTGGCGGGGTGTGATTGGCAACTTGGGGTTAAGTGTCTCACCCCCAGAGACTGATAGGCACTCAGCTGGAGTTGAACTCCTTCAGGGCACAAGGCAAACTTCCCAACCCACTCCCCCCGCCCCTGTCATTTGCACTATAAATCCATTAATAATTGCACGGTATTAGTCAAAACCAGCGTCCCAATGACTGGAAAGAAAACATCTCCATCTTCCATCCCAAAAAACAATTACACTAAATAATTACTTTGATTTGTTCTCCGCTCAGGACTTCTCCTGGGGCGAGATGAGCCTCAAATTAGCCCTGATGGCTGTGCCAGCAGTGTATGAGTGTGTGTTTGTGTAATGGAGGGATGCTTTATGAGAAGTGTTGGTTAAATGTGACTGATGGGAGTTTTAGTGCACTGTATATGAGGTATCTGTTGTAAGAATACATCAATAAAATTGCCATGGTGCTTTTTGTGAGGACACCAATATAAGGCTATGAAACGTTAGCCCTTGGTACAAATGTTGGCTCTTAAAGATGTAATTCCTAATCAAATCTCTTATTTAGTGATGCATTGAAACAAAGAATCATTCCAAGAATGTGTCTTTCCCCTTCTGTATATTTCCTCTTTTTCTACTTTTTGTGAACGTGTTGCTCTCCTTAAATTTCAATAAATTTCAATTTAACAAATAAGTAAGTTGGTCAGAATCAGACGATGTATTTCAGTTGTTCAATTAAGTCCAGTTATTCTAGTATATTAACTAGTAATAATGACTTGGCACAAATCTACCGTAGCTTTAAGCTTAAACCTGAATTTGTATTCTATTCAAGATCCACCTAATAATTCCGACTCAGATGTTTTTAAATTAATAAAAGACTATGAATAAAAACGCATTTACAGGTCTTTACAGATTTTTTTTTCTGCTTTATGTGCTGCCTCCCTGCAGCAGCAGGTCTGGAGAGACTCTGCTGTGTTCTTCCATTACTCCCCAGCCCTCTGTCGCCCTCTGCAGCATATCAGCTGCAACAATTACTCAAACGCTTAATGATAATCTGCTGAGGTGGCAGCATGTGCCTTTTTACTGTACGGGAGCCTATTTGTGTGTATTTACATGCTCTCAGAGTGGGCGTTCACCCAGCCTCCCACATCTCCTGAGATCCTAATTACAAATTGAGTGAGAAGAATAACCAGGGAGATAACGAAGCAACGCCGACCATCTGTAACCCCTGCTAGCGGTGTAATGTTTCAGTGTTTTATTGCGACACATATGCTGCTAGCCCCTCTTCTGCTTTGTAAGCCACGAGCAGTTTAATTACCTGCAATTAAGATCCAGTTTGTTAGATGAGGAGGAGGAGGCGCAGGCGGAGGATGCCAAACTGAAAACAAAAAAAAAAAAACTGTGCGGGGAGACTCAGCAACTGCTGACAGATTCATGGTTGCACACTGTAACTTAGATAAGTAACTATTATCAAGCTTTTATTTCCCCAATAATCTAACGCTTTAGCGTGTCAGTATTTCTATACTGTGTATACATCTGTATTTGTGTATACATGTGATACTACACTTATAATGAGATGTGGTGTTTCTGGGATTTGTTTGTTGAGTGAGAAGGAGGAGCGAGAGGAGGTGTGTACGTGTATACATGTAAATGTGTGTGCATGCGTTTGCAGCACTATTGCCCCAGTCTGTGCTGCAGTGACAGTGATGTATGGGTAATTTAAAAAGTTGTTCTTTTCCACAGAGCGGTCTGCAGTCAGGCCAGCCAACCGCAGCCCATTCCCCTACAGCACTGAGAAAACTCATCTACATCCACTCCAGCACACTACACACAGAAATGGACGGACGGACGTACGTGCACACACTTCCCTTATGCAAACAAAAGGTAAAAAAAAAAAAAAATGTTCTCACCCAAAGAAATTTCCCTTAAAATGACATCATCAGGCACTTTTTTTCAAGATTGAAATTGTATTCAAACAGTTTAGGAGTTAAAAGTTCATTCCTGTTTACCCCGATGTCTAGGTAGTTACTATTTGATCCAGCAGAGGGAGCTCTCAATGCTACTTTACCCAAGAGCTTTTTTCTGACCAGAGAAAGAGAAATGTCAGTGGCATTTATGTTGTTTTGGTGTAAACCATCAGACTAGACAGCCATCTTGGATGTACTGTGACCTATTCATCCCTCTGTGCCTTTGTCACACTTAGAAAAGAAGGTCGAATGTTGCTTTGCTGTTAGCTTTGCCATTCTTTTTTTTTATGGTCTGTATTATCATTCTACCACGATGATAAAACGAAACTGAGCCCATCACCAAGAGGAGCAGTGGGCAGCTTTCAGCACCCGGGGAGCAGTGAGTGGGGACGGTGCCATGCTTGGCCTCCTCTGAACTGAAAATTAATATTAAAATACTTGTCATTTTAGGTAATAACAACCATACAACATTCATCCTCAGTAGTGTTCGCTCGCTGACCAGAAGGCCTCTGTGCCTGCGCAGTCTGAATTTGTTGCTTTCTTATTTAGTCAAATTAGAATGACGTGAAGGATTAGGATTAGGCATATATCTTGCTAATGACTAAGGTTTGGTATGAGGCAAGGAAAAGAAAAATATCTTAGTGGAGGGCTCACAAAACCATTAAAAACAAGTGTGTGTGTGTGTGTGTTTACAGTGTGTTTTTTTGCTTCCATTCTACCAAGTGAAAATCACTGAATCTGAAAAACTACTTTCCGTGTGGTGGTGACAGGGATGGAGGTATCTCCAACATGAAATGCATAGAAGTGTTTGATCTGACAAGCCCAAGTACAGACCTGTGATGTGATTTTTGGGGATTTGATGAAAACTGATTCATTCATTGATAACTCCCTGGTGGAAGTTGGGTTTTGGTGAGGGAAGCTGCAACGCGACCAAGAATCTCCTGCGAAGTGCTGGCGAAAATTGACAGAGTCCTAACGTTGCTGCAGTTGTTTACAAGCCGTGAGCCACTGAAACAGTTCAGAGCTCTTCACATGGTTCCTCTCTATGATGTAGCCCAGGGAACTTTGTGCTGATGTGAAATGTCAATACTTCTCTGTCTTCACATATAGCTCCATTCCTCGCAGCAGTCTTTAAAGTAGCTGAAAGACGTAAGAGATGTTGATGGTAATGGAAAAAATGAGATTACCTGAGATAAACAAAGACGGGGAGTCATTTAGACCAAAAGGTATTAGCCAATATTTGAAGTATCCCCCCAGGAAGTAGAGAGCAGTTTTAAACTCATCACCTTCTCTATCAAGGATCAGATGGTAAGTGTTTCTGAGCTCCAACTTAAAGAACTTTCTCCCTCTCTCTCCAGGCTCTCCCCAGAGAGGCTGGAGAGCGGAGCTTATCGAGGAGTAATGAGCCCTTGATCTTGATGGTAATGTTTGAACCGCAGGTCAATATGAGGATGAAGGGTTCAATCTCTTTTTCTTAACTAAGAAAAAAATAGAAACAAGAGCAGAAGAAGAGGGATAGATGATATTTTTTGTTTGTGTTTCCTTCTTGTTTTTTGGGGAGTGGCTGTGTGTGCTGATGGTACATCTGGTAACGAACCACTACCCAAAGAACTGGGCCTCTGTGGTTGCAGTGAAGGAGAATGTTGTTTTAAATGTAACTCCCAGTCTGGAGATTCAGCATCAGTGGCTGTGCTGGGGTTTGAGCAGCTTGTTTATTCCGGAGTTAAAAACCGCACCGCAGAACTGAACGGAGCCGTGTTAGTCATCTTGATTTACTTCTACTGCTACAGATGGTCAAAAAGAACTACATCCTGTCTCACTAGCCCTGAACGTCTGCTACCTGCTGTGGATCAAGTAAAGACAGGAAAGGAAGCACGCTCTCCTGCCTGCTGCGGCAAGAAATGTCTCTGACTGCAGTAGAAAAACAACAATATTCTTACATAACCTAACACAGTCAAATACAAACCACGCTAAGCTTTAAAACCAAAAGACAAAAGCTGTAATGAGTGCTAATGAGTCTTCATACAACCTTGGGGGGGTCTGATAAAACCCTGACCTAGGTCCCATCCAACATCCCTAGACGACAGCTGTGAATGTTGTGCAGTTTAGGATAAACTGAAAGGTCACTGCTTCCTTCTAACACTGAGAAATAGAGGCGTTAGTCAGATGTAATCTTCCTTGCCTTAGCATAAAAAAGTCAAGGTTTATGCACATTTGTAGCCGCCTGACCCAGTCTTTGATGTGTGGCGCTGATGAATCCACTTGGCCTAGATGCTGAAAGGGTGTGACGAAGCAGCAGACGTTGATGTCATGCCAGGGGCTCACGGTCGTAATATAAAGTTTGATCAGAAAGATCTGAAACGTTCTACCTCACTGTCAAATATTTGATCTTGGATGTGTTTTAAACAACATTCTTATAAACATCTAATTATGATTATATCTTATTAATAACACATTTCCTGCTCTCACATTTCATTGTGTGCAGTGCTGTCACGATGAGTAGTTCACTTTCCTTTCCTAATATATTCCTCTTCCTTGAGCTGTAATCCACATTTCAAACCTGGCGTTGAAAAAGTATTTGTAATTCTGATTATGAATAAAAAAAAAACTACAGAACGTTTGACCCAGCACCAGTGCGCATCAAGAATAAACTTTTTTGGTGCCTGGCTTTTGGGGATGCTGCCAAACCAATTTTCCACACCTGTAGACCAAACCAGAAATGTCCAAAAATCCAAAACTGATCAACACTTCAGAGTTTTTTTTCTTCGAAGTTGTTGATGCTAATTCTTTCCTTAAACCATGGGCTGCTTTAAAATCTTGATACTGATAGTATTTACCAAAAGTAGAGTTAGCCATGTAATGAAGGGGAGGAGGTGGGGGAGGAGGAGGTGAGCAGTGGTTGTGAAACTTTTTTCTTTGAGCTGTTGTAGATGTCACTGGACAAATGACATATTTCCCGCCATGTCCCCCATACATTAGCCCCAAGGAGGATCTGCCCCGTAGTTTGGGAACCACTGTCTTTCTTCAGCAGCATTATGTGGACACTATGGCCACTCTCTAAACTGACCAAAGGTTTGAATTAGAGGATGAATATTTTGTTTGTCTCTGTCTGTGGCTCTGTGAACTCAATAAGTCACTGCGCCCCCACCTGATGACTGATGATATTGACTCTAATGACAGATTAAGGAGTAGAAAATGAATAATTGATAGTACGAAGGGTAAAATGATCAAAGAAATATGACAAACACCATGCGACCTAAAACTGTTCAACTGTTGGTGGCAGTGTTGGGTTTTTCCTCCCCACAGTTTTTTTAAAAACCTAATGCTGACCAGTCCCTGTAAGGTGGTAGTGAATCCTGCTTCTGTCTACGGTCCTACAACATCTGTGGGCTCAGCACCGTTAAGAACTGGGGACAGCAGAGAGATGTTTGATTTTTTATATAAAACTATGGTGTGGACAATAGAAATGGACATTTGTGAAAGTAATCTCACATTCACCACATTTATAGCATTTTTTTCATAGCTGCCCAAAAACTTTTGCCCAGTTAGAAAGCTTTCAGTAAAGACAAAAATCTGCAGAGTTCAAATTTCTCTACTGTTCTTTTCTCCGTGACTCCTCGTGTCCTTGTGGCTGTTTACCAGTAAGAGTGGAGTGGACTAACAGAGAGCAGAGCCTCCCTCCTGTTGGGTCGGTGATGGATGAAGGCTGCGAGTGATCACTCCACAATGACACACACCTAATCCTCTCCTCTCTTTTACTCTCCCACACTGCTTCCCTCTCCTATCCCGCTGCATATCCTCTATATCCTTTATTACATCCATTTTCTTGTCTAATCTTCCATCCGTTCTCTCCTAACTGCCCTTCTCATTTCTCAGCATCTTCTCTTCTTCATTTCATTTCCCCTTAACCCACACTATATTTTCTGCAATTTCCACCCCATATACACAACATGATTGAGATTTACAATTTACTGGCTGCTGTAAACACAGTCAACGTGAAACAAATAGGAAAAAACACACTTTCTTTACATTTGCCCATCTCCCTCTTTCTCTCCTCTCCTCTCCTCTCCTCTCCTCTCCTCTCTTCTCCTCTCCTTTCCCTTCCTTTCCTTTCCTTTCCTTTCCTTTCCTTTCCTTTCCTTTCCTTTCCTTTCCTTTCCTTTCCTTTCCTTTCCTTTCCTTTCCTTTCCTTTCATTTCCTTTCCTTTCCTCTCCTCTCCTGTCCTCCTCCGTCCTCTCCTCTCCTCTCCTCTCCTGTCTAAAGGAAGGATGGGGGTAAACCTGGAGGTTAATGCTTTGTGCTCTGCGGTGTTGGTGTTAACTCTGCGACACATCCTGACAAAGGCGTTCTTGGGAATTGCTGTATGTTTATGCTAATCTCTCGATGCCTCCTAACACCATGTCGGTGAGATAGAGCTGTCGTGTTGCGTCCCCATAAGGACACACACACGCACACGCAGAGCAGACACACACATGCCAAAAACAAAAATAGACTGACCAGTAAAGATCAGGGAAACAATTAAATCAATTGAAGCAATGCAAATTAGAGAGGCCTCTCATCTTGATGGTTATCCAATTTATTGTGATAAGACCTTTTCAGACAAATTGGCTCCCCTCCTGATATGTTTGTGGGTCGGAGGACCTCACTGCAGACATTCCACCAGGCAGTTTTTATTCCATTTCTTTTCCTTCTTCAGTATTTGTAAAACTGAGTGTACTCAGTGTCTCATATTCTGACACGCAGAGGAGCCGTGGATCGAACCATCATCCTCCCAATTAGTGGTGAAATCCACTCTGCCTCCCGATGCACAGCCTCCTCGCATTAGTCAATGTGAGTTTTCGATGCACTCATGCATTGTATCTAATAAACTTCTGGTGTTTCTGTGCAAAACACAAAGTGTGACATTGGGCCCCATTAGACTCTTGATCCCAGTAAACAAGGTGAAGGCTCACTGTCTGATTCTGCTCAGATGCTTTAAACTGTTATTTTTGTATTTGACTTGCGAGTCGAAAATTAGAGTATCAACGAGACCTTCAAGAGACCCTCAAAAGTTCACCGCCCTTTCCCAGACAGCGCATCAAAACAGTCAAAGTTAAAGTTTGTCAGTGGGTAAATTAACGGCAGCAAAATTACAACTGTGTGCATAATTAAAACACTTTTGGAAATAAGTTCCTGCTGTCAAACTGCCAGAGTTTGAAAAAAATGCTATTGGAAAGAATAGGTTCAAACCACAAGTACCTCTAATGGCACAGTCAGAAATTCAGAGAAAGATGGTGCAGATTGTCATAATAACCATTCTCTCTGTGTGTGTGTGTGAGAGTTTTTGTAACCTGCTGCTGCTCATTAGCAGGAAATGAGAAATAACATATTAATTGGTTTATTTATAGTAGTAACGATCACAGAGGATCAAAACTAGATGCAAACTGCTAGAACTGGAAGAGACCAAGTGTGGCCATTAGTGGAGTTATGCTGCCATTTAAAAGTAAAATAAATAAAAAATCTTTGCATTGACTATTTCTGCTCTGTGTGAATAAATAACAGCTACTAATAGACAGGAAGCTGCAAACATGAGGCTCGTAGAAGCTCACTTAAAAAATAGTACCACATGTATAATTCAAAACGCCTCCATTTGTAAATCCATGAGTGTCTAGAACCAAAATTTACCAAAACCAAAAACTGTTTGCACCGTCCATATTCTGGCTAATTCTACAAGTGACAGAGTCACAGTGTGGTTTTTTTTAAAGAAGAATTTTAGAAAAACACACGTGGTTCCCTCCATGCATCGTTGATTATCATGACAGAAAAATGCTAATTCTGTTCATTTTTAGCTTTAATTTTACCAGGAGTTCCAGCTGTGTCATTAATGTCACCTCTGCTGGTTTTTAGAACCGATTTTCTTGCCTGAGAACCAAATTAACCAATTTTGACACAATTTTGACAAATTAACCAATTTTAAAAATAATAATAATATATAACTGCTGTTAAACACAGTACCATAGCTAGGGTTGAGCTGAAGGTGTAAACCAAAAGTTCTAGGACCGATGTGTTCATTCCCAGAGGTGTCAGACTTTAATAACTTGTGACATGTGTCTCAGGTGTCGCCAACATTATGATTTTTTGACCAAACTTAATGGAAACCTGTGAAAAGTATCTAAGCTTTGCAGCAGATTTTCATCTACTTCTCTGTGCTGTTTTTTTTTTCTTTTCCCCAGAACTGAAATAAGACTTGACAGGAACTGGATTTCAGTCCTAGAAGACAAAGAACCCAGTTGTGACCTGGAGCCAAAGACATCCTCCAGAATTCAACACAGATGGTATTTATTAATACAGATCTTTATTTCTTTTTTGTGTTTTATAAACTTTTTTGTTGTTGTTATTATTCATTTCTAAATTACTAGCTTTGAGCTACTTCTTTGGTTTGGTTTTGTAATTTTAAACATTTTAACTGTGGTTTTGTAATTTTTTTGGACAAAAATGTACTTTAATTTTACTTGTCTCCAGTATAAGTTAGTTAGAAAATAACAGCATTTTTTTCAAACTCTCCTCCTTAGATCTTCTCCCAGTCTCTGCCAATGGGTGAGTTGATGAGTGAAGGCTCACTTTGGTTGATATTGATGAGGAACAAAGACATATTTGTCTCTACTTGTAAATGGAGTATCTGTTCTCTTTAAAACTGCAACTCCACTGAGAAGTAAACTTGGTTAAACTCAGTGTCTCATCGTTGCCTTAAGAATACTGTTGAAAAAGATTTCTGTCTTGCTCTACAGCTCATTCCTCTCCTTACTGACACACACACACGCTCACACTCACACTGAGCCTGGTGTAGTCTAGTATTGAGTGGAGATGTGAGCCTCACGGCTCCTCCTAGTGACATTGATCTGAGATAAAGATCAAACTGTGGCCAGACTCTCCCAGGAACCCTGCTTTTCATTATTAACTGTTTTAATGAGCGTGTGTGTGTGTGTGTGTGTGTGTGTGTGTGTGTGTGAGAGAGAGAGAGAGAGAGAGAGAGTGTGTGTTTGTGTGTGGGAGAATGTTGAAAATGCGCACACACCTCTGCATCAATGTAACGTCAAGCATTTGTAAATTGTTTACATTGAATGGAAATCTGCGGTGTCTGTGAGCCGCAGCACCACTGAGCCTCAGCTCCACCTCTGTGTGTGTCAGTATTTCATGGTGTGTGTGTGTGTGTGGGTGTGTGTGTGTGAGAGAGAGAGAGAGAGTGTGTGTTTGTGTGTGGGAGAATGTTGAAAATGTGCACACACCTCTGCATCAATGTAACGTCAAGCATTTGTAAATTGTTTACATTGAATGGAAATCTGCGGTGTGTGTGAGCTGCAGCACCACTGAGCCTCAGCTCCACCTCTGTGTGTGTCAGGATTTCATGGTGTGTGTGTGTGTGTGTGTGTTATGTGTGTGAGAGGGGTCTTTGCAGGTTGTTCCTAAGTGGCACCACCAAACCTGATAGTTGATTGGACCAGAGAGACGGGCAGGCAATCAGACTCCACACAGACGACCCGAAGCCAGGAGCGTCTCCTTGTTTCAGCAGTTAAAGGACAGTTGGACAGCTCCCTCAGAGGCTCACATTCAGCACCACGGACAGCGCTCTTCACTCCTCACTCCTCACTCCTCCGAGGCAGTTTTTAAAATGTCAGATTTTCTTTTAATATAATCTGACTGAGCTCAGAAGAAAAAATGCGTTTGCATCATGAATAGTCATGTAATTGATTCAAAACAGATTTTGTCAAAAGTTATGGAAGAAAAACTATTAATAATTTAAAACGCTTGACTGAACTGTCACAGTAATTCTTTGCATCTACTACAAAGGCTTGGAATTTGGAACTTGTAAACAATACTAAATAAGCAAAGCAGACTTTAAAACTGACATTTTCTAACCTTCTGATGTTGAATACTAAAGATCAGTCAACTACAGATATGACTGTATGGATGCAGTTTAAGAGCCAATCATGCGACAACATCACGTAGTCCTGTGCACTTGGTGAAGGTGTCTGGGTCAGATACGAGCGACTCTGCAGAGTCTTACTTTGTTAATGGCATCTGTTTTGACACCATCTGCAATATCACTGCCTTATACTTTCAGAATTCTGACAAGAATTAAGATTAAATTATACTTTTTGCTGTAGAGGAGAAGATGTTCCAGCGGTCATAGAGCTAAAAACACATTCATTTAATTTTGCATTAAAAACGTAAGCAACTTTAACAGACCGTTAAATGCAAACACAGACAACGCTTCAGTGCATTTTGGCTTTCAGACCATTTCAAAATCACTCCTGCTAAAGTTGAAAGTGAGGTTTGTAATGAGCAGAAAGGTGATTGAAGTGACTCTAACCCTGACATGATGAAAGGACTGATGTAAGTGTTTCACAAACTGCTGATCCACTGCAGTTTCCCCACCAGCGTCTCCTCTGTTTTACAGACTGGTCCAGAAACCAGGTACAGTTTTAGGAACGTCACATGTGTTTATCGTCTGAGGAGTTTTACCAGACTGGGTCAAGATAACATGTTAAAAACAAAATCACATATATTTATCTCATCGTATAGGCCACATATAGGCAATCACAGAGAGCGCCATCCAATGGAGGGGCGATACTGTAACATTTTAGCATTTTAAAAAAGAGCAATCACAATGGAGGGGCTGGGGGAGGACAACAGCGAGTGCTAAACCCTAATCTTGCCTAGTCCACCAAAATGGTTAGAGCGGACCATGTGCATGTTATGTTACTTAGTAACTAACCTGCATGTGATTAAAAACCCCTTTTCTTCTTCTTCTTTTCACAGCAGGAAACCCTGCCCAATGCCACTCCTGTGGGCTAAGACCAAAAGTTTTAGGAGTGGAGTTTTAGGATAGTGTCAGAAATTTGACTTATGTTACAAGGAAGTAGAGGCATACGGTATAAAAATGGTTTGTGCTTCTGCCTTACAGCAAGAAAATCAGTGGTTCAGTCCCTGGTTGTAGTTGATAGTCCTTCAAATTGTAGTTTGCATGCTAATTTGTGTTATTTGTAAGTGAATTATTCACTCTAAATTGACTTGAGGTGTGAATGTGAGTGTGAATAGTTAGCTCTATGTGAGGCCTTGTTGTGTACTGCTGAACTCCTCAGGGTGTAATGCTGCCCTCGCCTGATCACAGCTGGGATTGACCGTGTAAAGGATGAAGGTGAAGAAGATAAATGAATGAATGAATAAGAGGACAGCATCCATCCTCCATCCTGCTGCTCACAGTCTGAATATCAGGGTTTGGGGAATATTTTCCAAGCATTCCTTAGGCGTCTTAGACTCAAATAAATATGGCTGGAATGACACGGTCTATACAAGTCTTGTTGCTGATCATGTTCATCCCTTCATGATCACATTGACACCACTTCCTGACAGTGACGTCCAGGCAGGACGACTCGGCGTGTTAAACTCAAAGTTGGTTTCTTGAACTTGACAGTGAGTTCACTGAACATCAGTTGCCTCCACAGTCACTGGATCTTAATCCAATAGAGCACCTCAGAGACGGGGTGGAACAGGAGATTGTTATCGCAGACGTGCAGCCAACAAATCCGCTGTAGGTCCTGTGATGCTATCATGTCAATATGGACAGTCTCTGAGGAACGTTTCCAGCACTGTGTTGAATCAGCGTCATGCAGAATTAAAGCAGTTGCCTCTAATGACGTAGACAGTGTATACAAAAAAGAGATAATTTTAAATGCTGATTAGTTTTCAATTGGGATGTCCGATGTTAACTATTTGCTGATATCTGATATGCCGATTATTAGGTGCCTTCTTCTGGGCAAAACTGTGTTATCAGGTTTTTATTATCAGAGGAAAAACCACGACGATTCTTACCTATATTACATAATTATGCTAATATCGGGTCGATATATCAGACATTTGTAGTTTTTTGTTAATTTATTGACAAGAAATAAGTGTGTTTGTGTGTGTTGAGTTGCACTCCCAGAGGGTAAACACTGTGTATGAAGTACGGTGTGGGAAAACAAACACTGCAGAGATTGTAAAACCCAGCACTTCTAACTTTCATGAACTGCCTTCACTTGAGTGGATGCAAGTGGAATGAGCCACTGCTTGTCATGCTTGAAAAGATTCAGATATATACACGAGGTTGCTCCTTTCACCCTGCATTCTCATTCTTTTCCTGGTTTATTCCCTCGGACACGCTTTTTCTGTCTCTATGACTTACAGATGAGAGACAAGATGATTTTCAAGGTGGTAGAGGGAGAAGGGAGACCTGGAGCTCGGCCCTCTGTCTAACTTTCATATCAGAGAAAAAAAATGAAATGATCGATTTTCTGTCTGTTTCTCTCTCTGCCGGGAATATTAAAACAGACAGTGAGGTTTCACACTTACCCTTAGCACCACCACCAGCCCTCCTCTTTCTCCGCCCTCCTCTCCGCCTGCCGTCTCTCCCCATCACTCCTCCTTTATACCCTGCCCTTCCACTCCTGCAAGACCACAACTCCAACCCACACCCACTTTTTCATGGTCATCTTCGATTTGGACTACTCCAGTGTCATCCCTCCATCTTTTCTGTTCTCCACTCGGGCCGTCTTTCAGAAGGTCACACTGCCGGTTGACAGCAGGCCTCTTTCTCCTGGGCTTGATGGTAGAGGGCAGGCTCTGGACAAGGACTGAGGGTAAAGACGTATAGAGATGAGAATTTGACAGAGGGAGAAGATAAGGAGGAGGGGAAGGGTAGGGAGGAGGTTGTCGAGTTGTTCATAGCCTCGGGCAGGAGTCTGTTAAATGTGCTCCTCCATTGCACCGTTGCAGCGTTTGGCTTCATATCCATGCTGATCTAAAGAGCTGAGAGGGAAATGGAAAGGTGTGTGTGTACTCTTCATGGATACTCTCTGTTTTATCCCTGACCGTGGTAGTGATTCTCTCAAATCTTTACTTTCCATCTTATCTTTGCTCATATTGAGCCTCAGGATTCCTGATATAGGAAGGACTTCCTCTTCTGAGCCTGTTCTGTCCTTCTACTCGGCCCAACTTATCATTAAAGCTGTCTATCTGACGGCTGGTTGGATGTTGATGTTAGTATTTATTTATTTATTTTGTTGCTTCTCTGTGGTATGTTGTGTCTAACTCCTTCAAATAATCCGTAACTTTCACGGCCACACATTAGAAGAGAGTTTGACGCTCTACCTGTACAGCGAGAAGATTACTACTCTGAATCCTGACAGTAACTTTTAGTATATCTGTAATCCTGAAACATGCAGGTTGGTTGGTAATTTAAATATGCCACGTATGCCAAACGGATGGCTCGGGGGCTAAATCCAGCCCACTGTGTCTGTATAGGTGGCCTAACTTGGCTTAATAGACAAAGGAAATCATAGGCATAATTGTATAGAGTCTGTGCTAATGTTTACTGCTGTGGTCATGTCCCATGTGTATGACAAATACATGTCTAGTATGTCACAATTCTAATTCTCTAATTCCAATTCTAATCAAGCGTATGGTTCAGTGTAATTCACAGTCTGTTCAAATTCAATATTAATGCAGTGAAAGCACTGCCAGCAGTAAGACTGATTAAATACAGTATAAGCCTGTATCAGAAGGTTTCAGACAATTCTGTGGTGTTGTTCTAACAAGTCAAATGTTCCACATGAACATAGTTAAAGGAGTAATGTGATGGGACATGAAAACCTCTACTCAGTAATCACTCCATTACCTCCTACTTTAAGGGCATCCTAAATGGTCAAAAATGGCAACAAAAAAAAAATATATAAATGAATTTCTGTCTTGTCCAATTGTCCAATGTGTCTGTCCTTCTTGTACTGTGTCTTGAGGCAGGATGAAAAAAAAGACCCCACTTTTAGGAATTTATTTTGACGAAGTCTGGCTTGGACGAGTCACGTAATGTAGTGTATTAAGCAGAGAAACAGACTCCATCAAGAATCTGTTTCTCTGCAGCAGTTAATGGTAAGTTAACATGAGCACGACCCGTTTTTATACCGCTGTTATTTTGTTTGTGGCTCATTACATGAGCGACATATAACTAATGTGCTTCTCTGATACAGTGTCTCAATTTAGGGCTGCCACAGAGCTGTGTGAATATTTTTATACTCTTTATTGTCGATGTTTAAATGAATACGGTGAAGTAGTCCACTTCAAAACTATCATCCAGGATGTCACGTTCACACTTAGTAAACTGTAAAACTGAGGGTCTGGGTCATCGAGCAAATGAGAGACAGGGACGGAAATCTGCTTCAATAACAGAAATATTTAAAGAAAAAACTGATAGACTGTTAAAATAGAGTTATATTTCATAAAAAAACTGGTCTTAAACATTTGAATTAAAAGCAGTGCTGTTCTAGATAAGTTGAAGCCTTGGTTAAAAATGAATGCCTTCACTGCTGTTGACCAGCAGGGTGCCTTTGGAAACGGAGCTGCTGTAGGTTGAAGACAAATTAGGAGGAGGAGAGGGGGGAGCTGATGTAACAGGCAGAGAGAATAAGGAAAGGCAGGAGTGTGGAGGTTTGGACGTGGAGACGAGGGCTGGTGAAGGCAGGCCATCGATGCCAGACATAAAATATTTGTGATATTTGTTCTTGCTGTACGACCTACTGTACTTCCCTAATTCCCATGTACAGTATTTTGACCTCTTCATTACACAATGAGTTAATTGCTGGATGGTTAAAACTTTGTTGCAGGAGTGGAAAAAGAAGAAAAAAAAGAAGAGAAGGAAGAGGAAAACTCCTGCCGTCCTAACGGGATTTTCTCTCTCGTCCCCCATTTTGGGAACCATGTCTTTTTTTCTTTTTTGTAAATGAAATCTCACAACTGAACTAAAAAACAACCTTCAAGTAAATTAAATAAAAACTGTGTCCATTTAGAAAATGCGTATTGTGGATATATTTGAATATTTCACACCACTGGAAAGAAGGCAAAAAGAGGAGCAATACCATACAACTATTACTTACATGCATAAGAAGATCCAAAATAACTTAAAAACTGTTTTAAGGTTGGTCAGGACTTTTGTCTTTTTTTTGCCCTTTAGCCCGACTCTGAAAGTTTGTGGAGCTTGTCAAACGCCGCACACCTCTGCCACATATTCAGCATTCACCTGACAAAATCAGAGAGTGTATTGTTATTCTCAAGCTGCCAGTCTCACTCTTTAGAAGCCCAGCTAGTCTTAGCCCTCTGTTCAAGGTTGTCCTCAGTGCTGCCTGACAGTAATGATATTAATTCTCTGCCAACACTTGAACAATTTCTCTTTCTTCCGTGTTATCTGTTATCCCCTGTACTTTCTTTGTTCTTCCAAATCGTAAATTGTTTTCCTTTGGCTCCACTTCTCCTTGAGCTTGTCATTTGTTTTCCTATTAAAGTCATCCTATGATAAAGTTTGGTCTGTAGCTACGGGTCGGACAGATTGAGTCTTTCTGTTTTAAGATGTGTTTATGCAAGACTGAGAGTTATGTGTGCGTGTATGTGTGTGTTCCAGCAGGGTTTTGTCAGATGAGATGAACAATGGTGTGTGCCCCTGCAATAATTCCTGAAGATTTCAGAGTTTTGGATATGGGGGAAATATGGAAGAAATCCTGGCAGCAGAGGGCGTTAAAGTTTAGTCCACAGCTTGGATAAAACCTGAACTGGAGGAACAAACAAGAATGGATGGATGGATGGATGAAGGCTAGTCCAAAAACAATAAAAAAGCCCATCCAATAGATATGTACTTGCATTCCTGACCAGTAGAAGGCAGCACTAAGACCCTAGCAAGGAAGAACTCACTCATTTTCTTTAAGAAAAATAACATATTAAAAATTCATTTTGAAAATGCAATGTCAGTACTTCTTACCCTTACCCTTCTTAGAGGATTCCTAATTTAAATGTATTGATTCTATGTATTGTAAACAGTTGGTTCAGAGGGTCTGCAGGGAATCCAAAAGCTGGGTTTATAACTACAGTATCATTGCGGAAAACATCCAAATGCTTTAAAACAGAAATAGGTGAAGAAATTGTCTTTTTGAATCTGGTACATCAATATTTCCCAACTTTGAAGTTTCAACATTTGTTGTTAACAAAAGTTACATTTCGCGGGAGAAACATTGTTGATTGTCGGATGGATGGATCCAGTTGATCAGAGCGGTTTTGCCTTCTCAACAGGTGGCTGCCCGGCATTTTGTCTGTGCAGCCCACACATAGATGGGCACGACATAAGACGATATAATAGACAGGCTCTACGCCCATTCACAGAGGCGGCCGTGTGAAGTCTGAAAAACAAAGGGAAAGTCCAGTGGCTACCGGTCCAAAAGTCGTCATGCCCATCTGGCATTGGAAAGATATGACAGATTACCTGACTCTGTGTTTAAGGGAAAACAGAGCAACAAAAATGACAAGCGAGGTGGTTTGTGTTTGTGTGTGAGTGTGTGTGTGTGTGTCAGTGTCCGTGTGTGTGTGTTTGGCGTGATTTGGCATGAGCTCAGTGCATTCAGCGTTGCAGTCTTGGGTTTTAATTTTGTGCCAGCACCAGATTAATTAGTTGTTATGGAAACAGCAGCCAAGGCTAGGTTTAAGTGAGCATGTATTTGTTTCCTGCCTGACTCTCTGTGTGTGTGTGTGTGTGTGTGTGTCTGTCTATGTGTGTATTTGCCCATACGTGTTTGTTGTTCTTTAAGCAAGTATTTCTTAGATGTCCCTTTTTTTCTTAAATTAAGACAGTTTGACTCTCTCTCTCTCTCTCTCTCTCACTCATACACAAACTCACACACACACACACACACACACACACACACACACACACACTTCATCCTGGGATGTGACAATCTTTTCTTATCCACCAGCTCCTGGGAAATTGATAAACATTTGCCCAGTGTGAATTTGGTAAAGGTCCTGGAGGAACCTCCTGTGTTGGCATCATCATTTTTCTTGATGACAGCCTGACAGCAGTAACACAATCAGGTCTTTTCTTTTTCTTTTTTCTTTTCTGCTTTTGTAGAGTTAGCCACACTCTTCTACTGTAGCTCAAAATAAATGCAGATTAAACAATGTGTTTGGCAAACCATGATTGCTGTAGTAGAGAGTGCTGGGAATTCCATCTCTAAATTTGTGTGTGTATGTGTATGTGTATATATGTATATGTGTATATATATGTGTATATGTATATATATGTATATATATATATGTATATATATATATATTCTATTTTCTTGATTTCGGAATTTTTCTGTTTTATTTTGAAAGGTTCCTCTGCCGTTTACGCTGCATGAAGTTGTCTTTATTGATTACCAATCACACCCACGTGTCGTCCACCTGTGTCTCGTAAGGTAAAACCTGTCTTTGTTGGCTTTATTTATTTAATTTAATTTAGCTTGTGTTTCACCCTGAACTGGATTACCTACCGCTCCCCGTGTTACTCCCGTTTTGGATTCAGTCTGCTGTGGATTTTGTGAGTATTTGTCAGCATCTATTATTCAGCATCGTACGGATTGATGCCTGTTTTTTTTTTTTTTTTTTGTACGTTTGCGAAGTAAGTGCTGTGAACTAGTGTGTTAAACTGGCTTTCACTAACAAATCTGTATGTTAGGCAGTTACCGTCACCTTCATTGCTATCAGAATCAGTGCAATTAAAAAAAATATCATGAATGCAGTCTATCTAAAAACAACTAACAAAGAGCAGTCTGTCCTCATCATTCCGTAGCTGATCACTTGGTTGAACTAATCCCTGTGGCGTATACCCGTGTTTTTTATTTTTATTTTTATTAATCCAATCACATGCAGCCATCATGAGTTGCCAATGTGAACCAATCAGAGTTTGAGTTACCATCACGGACGTGTTCTAGCAGACGTACTGTTATGTTGGCCCCGTTTGACTGATTTGATTGCATGGTCATCACAGCACGCACTGAAAAAAAGCCAATTAAATCTTACGTCATAAATATTACAGGACTGACTGGACCTGGATCATTAGGAGGAATGAAGATTGAACAGTTCTTGTTGGTAGAACAGCAGCGCACGGATGGTCCGTACATCACAGGATAGACTTTGTGTAGAAATCAGAAGTTTTGGTAAGTAGACTGCATTTGGACTTTTTAATAATATTGTCATTTTATAATGTGATTATTGATGCTTGTCGTCCAAGCGTAAACTTTGTCTTGAAATAATGAAATCAGAAAAAGTTTCATGGTAAATTACTGGCAGTAGTGGTTGAAAAATCTGGAAAAGAAAGCCATGTTGTGATGATGTGGTATTATGTTTTGTGCACCAGAAATCTGACAGGTCATAACTTTGATCACTTATTAAAAGCTTTTAATAAACTATTACAGTGATAGGATTTAATAATAACGAGGCTGTAATAAAAAAATCTCTTAATAAGTGGAAAGTATAGAACTTTTACCAACTATTTTTCCACAGTTTTCTGACTCTGGAAAAAAAAAAAAACTAAACACAACTTTTAGACAAAAACTTTTTTTTCATCCGTTAAATAGTAATAGGAGAAATGTGTGCTTTTGATGCCTATGTGGACACTTTTCCACTTCTTGACGATTTTGCTTGAGGTAACTGTATTTTTTTATGGGAGCATAAGTTTAACAAATGGCTCATATGAATTTCAAGGGCAATTTTAGATTTTACAAGGATGATTTGCCCAAAGCCCCGTTAGATTTCTGCTGATCGTGACTTTTAGTTGCACTTTAAGTCTCATAATATACATATATTATATAGGATCAGGATTTTTATTGACGTTTTTTAAGTGAGATAAAGCAACACTGGATGTAACTGACGTCCCAGGATCCTCTCTGCACACTCCATGTATAACATTATCTGGAAGCCCAGCTTCAGGGTTGCGCAGGCCTTGAGAAGGACACCGGGGACACATTAAACAGTGACACACAGCTCCTTAGATCACAGAGGTCAGACACTGTGCGCTCGTTATCGGCCGTTGTGTCCCTGTGCTGGACATTGGAGCTTCTGTGGGGCGGGGAGGGCGAGAGGGCTCGGGGTTTTGTGTCACCCTGAAAACTCGTCAATTTGCTGAGGCGCATTCCAATGGGAGCGCTGGAGCTGTCTGAGCCGTGATTGGAGGGTGACCTTGAAGGGGTTGTCGGTGGTTTGGGGAGGAAAAGTAAGATTAATACAAAGCTGTTAATGTTTGTTGCTTCCATAGATCTCGTTCCCTGCCTCACTTTCATCTTGCTTTGGTTTTTTTTTGTTGTGTTTTTTCTTCTTTTTTTTTTATCCCCTCGCTCTCTGTTTTTTCCTGATTGATGGCAGAGCCCGGAATTCCGGTCTGTTCAAAAAGCACTTTCAGTCACCTCCTGGAAACTTCCAGCCAGAGCTGCTCAACGCAACCTGCAAACACAATAGTCCGTGTCACTTAGCCGTGTTCCAGATGAGCGTTTTTAGAGTTTTCTCATGTTGAGCAAGTTAACTAACTCGCCTAATGAGCCTGAGAGAACAGGCAGAACGCCGAGGCCTGTTGCAGTGATTTATGAATGGCTAGTAAGAGATCCGGCAGTGATCCATCATAGTTGGAGATGGGGATCATTGAGACGAATGGATCTGCTCCAGATTCACTCATTATCTCAGTGCCAGGATTTATGCCCAACCCTTTGTCTTCAATTACAGGCAGCACTTCCACACTTTCAACGTTTGCTTGGGTCGTGATGAATAATCATCAGTGGAGGGATTTCTAATTGCTCTTTCTCCGAGTTTATTGAAGATTATGGATGAGAGGAAGTTTCCATGGCGGCGTATCGACATTGACTTGCCTTTTGGAGTGTTTGTTTTTATTATTCATTATGAATTTACACAGGTGGTTTAAGATTTATGGGCGGTTGTCAAGCGTCAATTAAAGGGAGCTCCTCTGCCAAAATATATTTAGCAACCACAATGTGCCAGTGCTTGGATCTAATTGGAGGAGTCGCACCTGAAGCCTAAAAACAATCCTTAAGTGTCTCTCGGTGATAGCATCACTCTGCTAAAAATATATTTAAAGAGTATTTCACTGTCAAAACCATAGAGTTCAGTAAGTATAAAGAATTTTTTTTTTCCAAAGACACTTTCTTTTTGCTCTGGCCTGCCAATATGTGTGTAAATTATTTTTGGTCAGTTTCCAATATGTGCTTCCAGACACAGCACTGTGGAAAACATCTAGCAGCTGTTCAGACTGTGCTCATACAAAACAGCTGCTAGAGACACTATTGAGGTAAATTGTATGCCCCCACATCCCCTCCCCTGTGATAACATCCATATATTCTGCTCATGGTCTGCTTTTGATAGAATTTGCCTTTGTGTATGTTTATATTGGAAGAACTAATTTGGCACCTTTCATTTTGACATGTTTTTGCAGAAATTGCTTGAATGTGAATTCGTAAACGGTTTGTTTGTTTTGCTAATACTTGGTTTGTTTTTCTTTGCGTCGGCTCTTTTGGCTTTTTTTTTTTTTTTTTAAATTGCATCTCTTCTTTGTCCAGTTTAACTCCAATTTCCCAGCAGTCTTATCTCCTCTTGTGTACTAGTGCTGCACTGCTTTTTCCCACTTTGCCTCCTGATTTGTCATATTTTAATATTTTTATTTTCTTTCTCTCCCTATTTGATTTGTTTCCAGAGACCAAGTCTTCCTTTTGTGTCATTCTTTCTTCATTGTTCTCTGGAAATAGCTGGAGCTAATCACTGAGTTATTGTCTGCACATATAAACCCTAAAAATGATTTATAAATTGACTTACTGGTGACCTGGAAGCCCCTAATACTGAGTCTTAAATCAGAGTTTTTATGTTTTTTTTTATGAGCTGATAGCTATGCTGATTGATGATTCATGGTTATGACAGTATTATGATTGTCCTAATCCACCAAGAATATAACAGAGTTAGGATTAAGGTGATCCGCAGGCATCTCGCTCAAAATGCGTGGGTTGATGCCTCCTCGTGCAGCAGCAGTAGCTTTATTATTATTATTGTTATTATTCTTATTATTTCCAGGAAAAGATCAGGATTCCTCACCTCCTTCCCACTGTGAATATTTGATGCCAAATCTGATCCCGTGCTGCCAGGTGCTGAACCACAGCCTGTGTGTTGGTGCTGCTGGTGGTGGTGGAGAATAACGGTTTTCCCCGTCAACATAAAACACATGTTTGCCTGACTTCTTATTGATTTCTAGCGTTTTATCCAAGGACACAGCTTGTGTAAAGTACAAGACCTTGACAAGTCTGGCGTGCTCTATAGATTACATGGAATCCATAGGTGATTGCTCGCACCGTGTATCCGTCTTTTACCCCTCCCCGCCCCCCGCCCTCCTGCTCCCCCCATACGTGCATGTGTATGCACACTGTCAGTGTCTTCTTGGTCATGATTTTTTTTCTTCTTATTCCTCTCAGTAATCTTTAAATATCTTTTCACATTTTCTTTCCAGTGTATCGGTGCATGTTGGTGCATGTGCACATCTGTCCCATAATGTGATTGTGTTTATCTTTTACCACTGCTGTCACTTCTCTAATCCTCAAGACAGCAGGAGAGCAGGGAAAAAAATGAGGGGAAAAAACCAGGAGGGAAGCACGATAGAGTGAAAGGTGCTATTAATCATACCGACTGTCAGAGGGAGAGTGACTGAGTGACGACCGCACACAAACACAAACAAAAACGCTCCGGTTTACGCATGGTGGCCGTTCCTGGGCTCCACTCAATATAGACCAAACCCACCGTTTTTGTCCTTAGCTGTCAGGTTACCTCAAGTGACAGCCAACTTGCACAAATTGTTCAACCCGGAGCTAGAACTCCACCCTCTGCCACATGGTTCCAAGATCAAATGCAGTAAGAAGTTAAAATAAAAACAAAAAAAATGTCAGTGTTAAACTGGACCAATGCAGGGTGACACTTTGGCTTAATAAGTAAATAAATGTGATTGACAGTCTCATACATATTAATGCTGGCTGCTGGACTGTCAAAAAAAATCCATTAAGTCTGTCTCTCTCTGTGTGTGCCTGTCTTTCTGTGTGCACACCTGCCAAATATAGCGCCTGAGTAGGAACGTGTGTGTGTGTGTGCGTGCGTGAAAAGCGGGTGGAGAACGTCAGACCAAAGAGTTATGAGCACTGATATAAATTTTCTTCAAGACGACGATCGTTCCTGTTTCAGTCTTTAAAAGAGTTTCCTTCAATGTCAGTTGTAACACAGTGGAGACGCTGAACTTACGTAACACTAAGTTTGGATCCTAAATTTCCTCACTCTCTGACAATTCACTTTCAGCTGCTCCTTCTCACAGATACTGTAGTAATATTTGGCCAAAATAACTGCAGTATTCCCTGGATGAGATGTTTTCCTGTGTCATTGGCCCCTCAGGTGGTGGCGAGGTGGAGGTTGGAGGGGTGGTGGTCTGACACTGGCAGACGACCTCTTGCTAAACAAGAACCCCACTCTATGCTCACACCTGGTCGTCGGCCGTTCCTCCCATCGCCCGTCACACTCTACACTCAAACCCTTACTGGTTTGCTACCGCTTGGCTAACAACTTAGCATGGACTAATGATGCCAGTCGGACATGGGCTGCTGCGTGTCATGTTGCTGTTGGTTTTGTCCTTGGCGGGGGTGTGTTGCTTCCTATACTTCCCATTAGATGCCGTCCCTTCTTTCCTCCCTCGGCAGCAGTTCTTCTTCTCTGCTGCGCGTAACTTTGGTCCTCTGCTGCACAACTTCCTTAACTTTTTTTCCTAGCGTAAAAGTCCAATAAAGGGTCAGACATCATCTGCAAATCTAAACAAGAATGAATGAAACTGACAGCACAGAAAAAAACGAAAAATGTTGTAAATATAAGAGTGGCATTAATATGTATGCTGTTTGAAGCTGTCAACATAAAAACACATTTTAAAGATGTGTATGTAAAGGGTTTGTTTTTTTTAGATCACATCACTCTCTCATCTCACATCAGCAGTCATGTCATCTGGGGGGGTGGGGGGGTATGAGGCAGAGCGGGTTGCTTAAATTTATTGCTGTAAACTGCAGTGTTGACCTGAGTGGCTCATGTTTATCAAAGGGCTGATCTACTGAGCTCTGCGTGTCTAAGATATAATGTATACAGATACTGACTCATTGCACCGCTGGTCACACTCAGAAGCATCACTTGTACACAGTCTCACACTTGTACAGGTGCACACACACACACTAACAGAGATGCATAGACACTTGCGTGCATACATATTCTTGTGCATCCCCCTGAATGGCCCAGGAGGTCAGGGTCTGTTATGTAAGGTTAAGCAGACATTAGTACTCTGTCTCCCTGCAGCCCTCCTGAAGGCCCGGGGAGCAACTCATCTACATACTATGAATACGAATGACCACAACGGTATGTTAAGAGCCATTAGAACCCAGGCTGACGGTGTGTAATCAAAATAGAAAGGGCAGTTAAAGTGAGTGTGACCCAGGTCATGGCGTGGTTCACTTGAGGACATGGGTTCACGATGCTGAGTTATTGTTACAGGTGTATTAATAATTCTCTAATAACAGCAGATCTACAGTAAATCACGTCAGCATAGACTGCCCAGCACAGGCATCTGCCAAATGGAAATGGATACAGGGTTTTATAAGAATTCCAGCGGTGGGAGTGATTAATTCCCCGTGGTAAATTTCACCATGTTTGTTTTGTTGGAAATGGCAGCGCTGATTTAGATGCAACACCTGTTTTTTAATCCCCAGGATCTATCCAGATCCATTCACTTATAGTGAGCTTTAAAGCAAAACATGAGTAGTTTATGGTCCAGGAAGAAAGCAGGTGTCACTGCAAATCATTCAGCCGAGGGGACCTGCAGACAGCGGTTAAACACCGCGGCTGTGATTCGCTGAAGAGGCAGTAGTTTCCATTTTAGAGAGACCTGTCCAATACATTTACACTTCACTGTCGTTTTGCCTGTCAGGTCTCTGAGAGCGTCTGGCACACACACACACACACACACACACACACACTTGCTCACAGAGACGCTGCCGGTGTTAATACTCACTAATATTCACTTTGACCTGTCTTGTGGAAGAAGTTAATGATGCATTTTAAGTGATGTGTCAGCACTTATAAAGCTGATGAAACAATAGTTACAAACCTGGTCCACAGAATATTCAAAATGTTGTCCTGTTTATATGGTGACACATTCACTTTACTTAAAGGTTACATGGAGGGACCAATCATATTTACTCTTTTTAAGTCTCTTTTAGTGGTGTCAGTCAAAAGGTTCTCAGACAAGTCCTACCTCACACACTTATACAGGTGGAGTTTTAAAAGCAGTAATCCCCTTCTATGTCCTAACTGGGTTGATGTACCTCCAATTCCTCACACCTTCAAATTAAGTGGTTCAATTTTTTTTTTTTTTGCTGTGATTCCCACATTGCAGGTGTTTTTTCAGTGTTGAAAATCAGATTGATTGAAATGTAACAGAACATAATAAGTTTGTATTTATCGAATGCTAATCCTAAATTGCATAGGTGGTGTCAGGTAGGGGATCTGGCATAAAAAAATTCAAATCACATAGTAAAAAGAAAAAAAAAAAAGTAATACTTCTTTTCAGGCAGGCAATATGCCATAATTCAAGGTGATTCTTTTCAAGGGACATTCTAATATTTTATTCCATTTACTTCAAATCCAAATCTGTCTGCTTTGTTCCATTATTTAAAAAAAGAGAAAAGAATCAGAATGGAAGGGTGTCATTTTCAGGTAACGCTGAAGGTTAACATTGTGAGTGACTTTAATGCTGCAGGGATTTACTGGAGCGAAGCTGAATCTTTTTCTTCCGAAATAAATGAGCGGTTTCTGTACGAATCACCCACGTTTGTTCATGGATCAACACAGACTTATTTACAGACTTTCCTGCTTTAACCAGATTAAAACCCTTGCTTTCCTTCTTGCATGTTTAATTGGAATAAATTTGTGTTTTAAGCATCAATCCACTGCTGCAGCATTTCTGCAGCGGGTGTTTATTTATTCAGAGGCTGCAGCACATCATTCACTCAGCCGAGAAGATCATTGGCTGCAAACGGCCCCCCATCGATCAGCTGCACTCCACCACAGCCAGGCGGCACGCAGACATCTTGCTGCCTCCATTTTGAGTGACACCACAATCAGGTGCTGGTGAAGTAAGTAAATTAGTAAACATGTAAGTGGAAAATTAATTTCCAGAAGAAAACCCAATCAGTTTCATCTTGGAAGGCTTCACTGTTCACAGATCCACAATAGTTTTTGGGATTTAGGAGCAGCTTTAATGCTGGATGACGTCCCCTTTGCCACAATGACCGTTTATCTGGAAATGGCTCTGACACTGTGGGACACAGGCTGTGGCGGTGTCTCATTTAGACGGGCTGTGGTCGACAGGGTCTCTGCAGCCTGTGGAGCCGGATGTGGCTGGATGCTGTGGTTGTAAACAACCAGAATTCATAACTTGTGAAGATATCAAATATATTGGCTGGCCTGTAAGATAAATATAAAGAAAAATGTCAAATTGTCTTTAGCAGACGTGTCAGCTATTGGTTCAAGAAAAGAAGTTGTTTTTGAGAGGAATAAATGCTCCGTGGCCCACATGGTTGTTAGACTGTATGATTAGACTGTGTGACTGGTACTAAGACGGTGTTATTCCCTCTGAAATTCAATCTTTTTTTGTAAGAAGAAGAAACACTATCAAGAGTTTTTTATTTTTTTATTATTTCTGAATATCAATATAATATCATTACAGCATCTGAGCTTCTCTCCTGGGCAAAGACCATTTCCTTAAAGACAAAACAAATGGCTGAATTTACATAATAATATTATTTAAGAGTGTTTTTTATATATTGTGATAATATAAAAAAAACATTGAGTAAAAAAACACTAAATTACTAACAGCAAAGAATTATGAAAGTGTAATATAACAGATAACTACGGCCTAGTGTGTGGAACAACAAAGTGTATTTTCTAGTCATTTAAAGTTATTAAAAATATTTGGATGGAAACAAACCAAACTATTACGAATCATGTTGAATAACAGCAATAAATAAAGCCGTGGTGAAGCCAAAGCTATGGATTTTTTTTTCTTGGAAAATTAAAATGTAAAAATCCTCTCCCAAATGTAGTTGGTACTGCATTGATTCCAATTACTTCTTTAGTTCGCAAGCGTAGAGGCTGGAGGATTTTCATAGAAACAGTTTGATCGTGAAAACGTACAATATTCACACTATTTTCCTAAACTATTGCTTTTCCCACTGCTGCTTAGAAATCTCTTGTTGCTTTTGCTGAATGTTTGCTTTAAAATGACATAATTAATGGTGAAACACTTAACACCACTTGTCTCCAAGGCTGTTTTCTTGGAAAACACAAGTTCCATGGACTCTTGTGTGGAATTTTTTAATTTGTTCCTGAAATCGTTTTAATCAAAATCTCCACACTTATGTGCAAAGGATCCTGGGATATGTTGAGTTTAGTGTTCAGTGGCCGTTTCACACTTGTGTTGTCGTCTTCTGTCAGCTCCTCCACTGTTACACCAACCATCTCAGATCTTCTCTGAAGTCTTCTATGTCTCCTCAGTACACGTCCAAACAACCCCACCTTGACCTTTAACCTTTCACATATCTTTAAACTGCTTTACCTTAAATGCCCATCTGGTCTGCATATTTCCATCATCTCCATCTCTTCCACCTCCTGTCTTTTACAGTGTCATTGTCTCTTAACCTGGAGGTGCACGGGCTGCCACTAGAGGGTGCACAAGATAAAAAATGTGATGGCAGTTTGGAGTGTTTTTTGTTACTCACACTTACTCTTACACGTCTGCCTTACATGGAGAAGGTACTGGGTTCGAGCCCCATGAAATTTTATCAAGATTAATCATGACAAAATGCAGCAATGCAACCACGATTAATTGTGAATAATCACGATTAATCGTAATATTTCCTGAGCTACACAGGAATTAATCAGACAAAATTCTAATCATTCGACAGACTAATAACTTTTCAACGTGAATGCATCTTCATTTGGCTGCAGCTAACCCTAAATTTGGACACAACCTTCAGCCCCTCTCAGTTTTAAAGGCCTGTCTCGCCCAGGGACACACCGACATGTAGACCAGTAGAGGTGGGGATTGGGCCCCTGACTTGGTAGTTGGGGAGGAGCAGCAGCTTCCGTCCACTGATGCACAGCCTCCCTCAGACAATGAGAATACTTTATACAAACTGCACATAATGTGAGTTCTACCTCTAATGAACGTCTGCATAGATAAAATCCCATTTACTGAGCCGATAAGCATTTTTCTGCCGCTTCATCTGGGGCACCAGCTGTAACCGGTTGCACAGGGACAAATTATCATCACCTCATTTAATTAACGCGGCGTATAAACACAAGTTTTGTTGATGGCGACACAACAATGCAACAATCTGATTACATTATGAAGCAATTATCAGCCAGAGTGTGTCACATGTGCAGCTGCACGACGCGCACGCACGCACACACACACACACACACAGTCACACAGACATTAACACTTGTATGTTACAAGTCACAGGTGTGCTCGCATCTGTGTTGTGATCCCATGCATCAACACATACACACATGGGGCGTCTATTAGAGTAATGACTCACACATTTGTGCAGCTGTCTAACACTCGGTGATCCTTTTAATTCTCCAGGATTATAATACAATAATCCAGGTTAAATTTGGCACAGTAAAGGTCAGCGCAACAGCGTCAAAGTCCTCTTTGTTCACCATCTCCATATAAATCACACTCACTCAACTCAGTCTCACTCCATATTTCTCCCGCTTCAGTAGTTAGACCCCCCCCCCCTCTGCACCCTCGGCATGAGCACTGCTTTATTACATGATACGTGTAGTGTGTGTGTAGAACCCCGCCCCAGGTATCAATAACCTGTTAAGACTTTTAGTAGAGATGAAAACAACATGATCTGGGAAAATATTGAATAATCAATAGAAGGTAATTCTCTCTGATTACCCGGGTACGTGTGCG